AGCGAATATAAATATGCTATACCATATACATACATATGTATATATGTAAGTATATCCATATCCACATGTATGTGTAAGTATAGTACACACTCTTATGAGTGTCGAGCAGTTGTTTGATTTAAGAAAAATTATCTGGCCAATGTCCCAGTTTCATAAACAAAGGGTTCAAGTTGGCAAGTAAACAATAAATAAAAGAGAATGAGAAGCGAAARTCCAGAATAAGAAAAATAGGATAATATATATTTGTACGGTTTTTCATCCATTAAGTTACGTATAGACCAGTTTTGTTTTTTTGCGATATCAGATATAGTTCAGAAGTGCACAAGAGGTGCTCTATTGTTTTCCAGGTGTTCTGCTCTAGATATTTCTTGCTGTCTTCTCGTGCTGTTAGTCCCATCCTGCGTGTGTCTCCACCAGACAGTAGTCATTTAGTATTTCCCTCATGTTCCTACAGTCTCTTCTATCGAGTGCCAATAGGAATTTTGTGCAATTCCATACAACCGTTTTGCACATGCCTTTAGTAGTTTTACTCACAGGTAGTACGTGATTTTTTTCGCCATACTTCTGTCGAGATCGTCGTATAGACAATGCATGTGTTTCTCAATGTTGATCACGTTTTCGGATATTAGTCGTACACCTTTCTTGGCAATCTCGTCCACTATTTCATTGCCTTTGATGCCTTTGTGGCCTGGCACACAGTAGAAGTGAATTTGCTAACCCAACCTTTGCTATAGTGGTCCGATCTGAACATTTTCTTAGGAAATTATACCGCTGCGGTGGGCAAAACTACATGCTYAATTTCGTGCAGATATTTTGTCAACTAAAAAAGGTTTCCATACAAGGACTGGATTTTGATCGATTAGATGAGCAATATGCTATTGCGGTTGAATATCGGCGGTTCCGACAAATGAGCAGCTTTCTGAAGAAGACAAGACGTTTGAAGAATTTTAGATCGAAATCTCAAAAACCGAGGGACTCGTTCACGTATATACAGACAGACGCACATGTTCAAAYCGACTCAGCTCGTCTCAGTTCATTTCCATATACTATAGTATATCGTTTTATTCAGGCTGTTACAAACTTTGTGAAAAACTTTATCTACCTTGTTGAGGGTATACATATTTTAGGTTTTAACAAATTAAAATATTAACGTTCGGTGAGGTCTTACCTAAAGATTTTTTCGACAAAAAATGGCAAATATTGAGCTTGAGGGGGTGAAAATGCTAACTAAACACCGCTTAACGTAGAGTAATATGTTTTCTAATCAGATTTTTTTTTGAGAGAAGAAATAAAATATATGCATATATAATAATACTGGGTAGAAGATACAAGATAAGTGTACATTTATGCCACAGGAAGTGAAATTCGTTTTAAGCCCTTAAATTAACTCGCTAATGGTTATTACTCTATAACAGCCTTTAAAAGCTTTTTCCTTATCACTTAAATGCGTTCATGTAGTTACTTGAATAAGAAGACACCACTCGCCTTACTCTTGGATTACGATGGCACATTGGCCGCCATTGCTGACAATCCTAAGAACACCTATATGAATGTGGATGTGGAAAAGCTGTTGAATCAGTTAGCCGTACATCCACAAATCTTTTTGTCCATTATCTCTGGACGCGGACTACGTGATGTGCAGTCACGCATCGGTATCAAAGGGATCACCTATGCCGGCAATCACGGTTTGGAAATTGAAAGTGGCGATGGCACACGCCACGACTACCCGTTAGCCGCTGAGCTAAAAAATCATTACGCACCGATGGTGAAAGAACTAATCGATAATGTGCAAAAGAATGGCGCTTGGGTTGAGGATAAAACAGTATCATTGACCTATCACTATCGTGATGTACCTGCCGATGTATCTGAGCTACAAAAGAAATTGGCAATACGGATAATCGAATCGCATGGTTACCGTACAAGTCAAGCGCATGACGCGATTGAGGCAAAGCCGCCAGTGAATTGGCATAAAGGTGAGACAACAACATTTTATATTTAAGTGTTGGATAAAACTTAGTATTAATCACGAGTATTATATAACGGCTTAATATATTTAAATGCTTCATTAATTTAGGTAAAGCTTCACTACTCATATTGAAGGACCGTTTCGGCGATGATTGGGCCGACAAAATTAAAGTGATATTCGCCGGCGATGACAACACTGATGAGGATGCCATGCGGGTAATTATTAAAACTTACAGCTAAAAAGCAAGGTATTTGTATTAATTATCATTGAAATTTAGTTTCTGCAAGGTTCCAGCAAAACATTCCGCGTKGCTGCTGATCCCGAAATTCAGACCTACGCCGATTTTCGTTTACCGCAACAGGACCTTGTGGAAGACTTGCTGAAATGGATTAGAAAAACTTACTCCGATTAGTTGCTAGTTTTTTTTTTTGTGAAAGAAGTGTGGTATCGCTTCACTTACAGTAGTTTATTAGAAAATCTATTAATATTAAGATTGTAAGCTTATCAAAATTATGTTAGTAAATACATATCGTTAGTATATACATAGGTGCTATCTCGGTTACTTAGTTGTACACAAATTGATATTCTTGTTACACAGTAACAATATATACCATTGGTAATAAATTTAATAAAAAAATTTTGAAAATGTTTAAGTCATTTTATGTAAATTAATAATTAATTCAATTAGTAAATTTTGGTAAGTGGGAAGAAACTTTTTTGGAAGTTTGTTTATAAATAATGCTACCCGCATTACTAAACTAATGTTGCAAAAAACAAAAAAAAAAAAAATCATAAACTGTAGTCATGTCGCTCAAGTGTAATATTATTAGGTCTACAACTTTGCTTCTGCTGTTTTTCAATAAATGTCTCTAGGTTCAAGCACTAATCGATTAAAACATTTTATATCGATCTTGGACATTKGTGTCAACATTAACCCAGCAAAATATTTTTAGAGATCTGTTTGCMTTCCAAACTTATTCTAAATTGAAAATCTCACTTTTTGAGTCGAATTCTCGACAATTTCGGGGAATTTTGCTGTTTTTTTTTAATTCCAAGAAAAGTGCAGTGAGGATCCGTCCACGCTTTACTGAGGCTGACACATACATAGATAATACTATTACTCTACTATTACCATCTATTTCTATTAGGTATTAAAAAAATATAGAATTTTTGTAAAGCAACTTGTGCTAGTCTAATCTAGGAAGTCTTGGTTCGCACATTTAATTAATGTTTGTGCGACAATGGCATACAGTGAAGTTTAATTATACTTTCAAGTGAGCGATAGTTATGGATAGGAATACGTACTCCATTCCGATAATATTTTGGTAATTGGGTTTGAAAAACTGTTATTTTATATACCGTAAACAATTTTTTCTCTTTATGGCTTCGTTTCTGTAATTTCTACAAGGAAAAAATTTATTAACATATCTGTCTGCGAGATGGTTATTTTTCAGTACCGATAGTCATTGCTAACTAATACATAGTACATATGTATGTACAAATAACCATATAAGTTCTAGCTTCTATGCTGCCCCTTAACATCGACGGAGATGAATTCGCGCGATTGGATCAGCTATCAGTTACGTCTGTAGGCGTAAAAAAAGAAGAAAGAACCAAAATCAGAACCAAAMTCTGTGGGTGGACCCACAGACTAATCCCTGACATCCTTTCTTGGATAGATAGACAACATGAGGACCTAGACTTCTACCTAACCCACATACTGAGTGGACATGGATGCTTTAGAAGTTATCTGTTCCGATTCTGTCACGTCCGTAGTGTCTGTCGTGTACAAAAGGCACAGAAGACTCGAAGCAGGTAGTTTTTGGATGCCCTCATTTTTCAAATGGAAAAGCTCACTTGGCGGTAGTTTGTCGGAGGAAAATTTGAGAGCACTTATGTGTCAGTCCTCTGGTAAATGCAAAACTGTCAGATAAGCGTCAGTTGTAATTATGACAAAACTAAGCCATATACAGAATATTAGGCGTCAGTTAGTCCGTATGAGAGAGAGAGATGAGACTTAAAGTCTTTCTCTCTTCCATGAAGTAATACTTAAACTTATGGGATTAAAGTTTCGCACTCTGGCTTTCKTACCTTCCTCCTACTAMAAATATGAGCGGAGTTTAAATAAATTTAACATATTCTCTCTTGAACTGAAATTTTAGACACGTTAGAAAATTTAGACGTTCAGCTGTTCTTCTTTATTGTCATTCTGTACTCAACATTGTAGTGTAGTTATATTCGCCCAAGCGTTTTCACGTGCTGCTTCTTAGCATGAGGTYGGCATGGCGTATAATTGACGTAGCTTATAATATTATATATTGTCTGTGTGTTTTTTTTTTTGCGTGCAGCATCGCTGAGTTGAGTGATCAGTGTAATAAATTCTTAAATTGAGTGGACTTACAAGTGTCATGGCCTTGCGTTAGAGTTGCCAACCAGTKCGTTTTCGTTGCAAAAGCAACTTCCAATGTAGGCAATGTACTCAAATAGAAATTATATTATTAGTGTTGTTTTTGGCTACTAAATGTTTAATAATCTAATTATTATTGTTGTCTGTTGTGCTTCTGCTTTCTAGGCATGTGTGTATGTATATATGGGAGCGTGTTTGCTTTTGAATGCGATAACGGTGCGATGCCGATGATGACTCCGATTGTAATTCTGATTTTGTTTATTTTGTTGATGTTGATAAGTTCCGTTTAGGTACTCTTAAATATGTATATGCATATGCACAAATGAACAAATTTTTTATATATGTACATAGTATATATAATATATAATCAGCAAATAGTGAAACTTAATAGTTGCGATTTAAAGGCCACATTTTGAATCACGCGAGCTCAGTAGCTGATTGTATTTCGAAACACTCAGTTGTTAGAAAATTTGTTTGATTTTCGAAAATAAAAAATAAATAAAGTGTGTTTGTAAAAAATCTTAAAAAATACAAAAATTGCCTTAAATTCTCATTAACTTTAAATTAAAACTCAAAAATAATTGCAATTAATATAAATTCGCTCACGTGTGACCTTTATTCTTCAAGCACACCGGTGGCAGCTACTTTATAACGAATATCTGCAACATCAATAAACACGCCTTATACGAAATGCCTGAGAAACGTGTAGTGCCTGTGATTGGCTCTTTGGCTGACTTTGAAAGCAAATTACCTGGGTGAGTTGAGATTTTGTTTGAAGAAACTATCACATATGTAGGTATATGTACATACTTGTATATGTATGTACATACTATATATTTATACATACTATTGCACTTGTTCAATAACCAGCTTATTTGACTAACAACTGATAAAGCAAAGCTTAGTTGTTCATAGTTTTTTCTTCTAAAATGTTGATAGTACAAAGTCATTAAAATTTATAAAATTTCCTGTGCTCTGACAAACTAAAGTGGTTTTAAAAATCATGTTTGCCATAATACATAATTACTTTGAGATAAAATGGCTGATTAAACATCGAGTGAAATAACATAAACATATGTACATAGAATAGAATTTATTATCAAAAAAAAAAAAAAACGTAAACTTCAAGTTTAATGGGGAATGTTTATTATCATTCGAAAGAGCATTCTTGGGTATTTATTTTTTGAAGATCATCTCTTTCAAATATTGGCCGCAGATGGTCCTTCCGTTGAGTTCAATTTTCGATGATTCGTTGGAGCAGTCAATCGACCGGCTCAAAACGTGAAATTATCTGCTCACTGAAGTGTTTTTCATGGAATCAATTGATTGATGCGATGTGTGGGAATTGGCGCCGTGTGGTTGAAGCAAAATCTCGCCGAGATGACGAGTTTCAATTTCAAGTATCAAAGAGTCGGTTATCACGGCGCTATAACATCGCCCCCGGCATAATTTTTGAGATCTATAGATCGATGATTCCACCGGCGCACAAACCACACCAAACGGTTTTTTTTGGAAGAAATGGCTGCTCTTGAATCTCTTCAGGTTGCTCTTCGTCCCAAACGCCAGAAATGGGTCTCATCGCCGAAAAAAATTGGCTCGAAAACGTCGGATCTTCTTGGAACTATCCAAAAGTCCATAGAGCAATGCAATGACGCTTAAGAATTTCGAACGGGATCAATTCTTGCACAAACTGTATTTTGTATGATTTCAAAAGATCTTGATTTAAAATGCACTAAGTCGTTCCATACGTGCGTGTAGTTGCGCCGAATCGATTTTCCATGATTTTCGTCTRCACTCTCAGCTACCGTTATATATTCTTCACTGTCTGCTGCACAAGGTCTATTCGGTTGTCCAATAATGAATGCTGGGTCTCAAGATGGGTGATGGTGTTGTGAATATTTACACATTATTTACATTATTTACAGAACGTGAATATTCGTAATAAAGTTGAACTATTCGTAAACGTTGTTCAGGCGTAAGTAATACCATTATGAAATGCCAAACTGAACAAAAAATAAGATGATACATTGTGACGACTCAAGCGTGATCTGTCAAGAAAAAGCTATTGAAAAAAAGTACTTCTACTTGGATCAACCGTTGGAAATATTATGAATATTTGACAGTGTTTCAGTTAAAATGAATATTCCAAGTAGTGCATTAAATTTTCTAGATTTTTTTAAGTAGTCGAAAGCGGGATATGAGTTTTCTCAACTGATAATGAAAAAATAAAAAGCTATGAAGTGGAGGGCGCTCTTATTCCAAATAAGAGCTCGTACTTGGAGAGGTTCTAAAAGAGGTATCTAAGAACTTAAATTTTTACCCAAAATAATATGTACATACATATTACTATTTATATTTATTTCCCTTGTGTACGAGTATATGTTAGCATTTAGAAGTATGTAACTTGCAKTAACCTTTCTGATAGCGGCATAGATAATTTGTATGAAGTAATTATTTTGGAATATGAATTGATGTCTAGCATTTTTCCACGCTGTCTGCATGTTCAGTTGTTGTTTTTGTAATTAATATATTATATTACCTTGGCAAAACTATGTATTGTGCACAACAAGTGTTTATTTATGCAGCAATCAGACATACAATTTGTTTCTATATAAYTATATACATRTGTATGTATGCATAGAATAAGCCTGTACTTATTCACTCACCATATGAGTGATAAATGTTTCGGTTGAGAACTATTGCAGATGGACACAACTTACATCTACATGTATGTATGTATATTTACAGACATACATAAACACATACATTTATAGAATTTTTGCAGTGTAACAAATATGGAAAAGATAACAATAAGTGGTTATAAAAACATAAAAATAGTATAAAAATATATATCTATGGTGTATTTATATTAAAGGTTTGCTGCGATTAAATACTGTATGCAAAATATACTGTGAGAGACAAAACTGTTTACGAATATATCTTTTTGCGAATAGATTCGCGCAAACGACGCTTAACCCTCCAATAGTATTCATTGTCAACAGTTTGGCCGGTCGGAAGTAGTTCGGAGTGCACCACACCATGATAATGGAACAAACAGTCAACCTAACTTTGATCTTTGACCTGCTTTCGTGGTTTGACTACGGCTCATCTTTACCACTACATTCGGCCGATTGATCATCTGTTCTGTTTCCGGGTCGTAACTATAACAAAGACTCATCGTCAGTAACAATACAATTCATAACAACCTGGTAGTGGGTATGCATTGCTTTACAGACGTTAACCACTTAAATATATATTGCGCCGAATGGGTTTTCGTACGAAATATGAATTAAAAAGTCTTACAATTTTTGTTCACAGTAGTTTTTAATTAACTTTTTCGGTTCGAAAGCATATTAGTTTTTTCCTGAATAGTTTTGGCCTTTACTGTATAATTATATATAAACATATTATCACTTGCTTTGATTGCAAATAAATTAAATAGCAGACTCCAGCTGTTAAACAGTATTGTTGCACATTAGAGGCACTCTATGGATACGAGTATTTATCTGCATAAATATTCTGCTTGGTGCGGCATTTATAAATCTCCATGAAAATATATTTATATGTGCTGTGTAAATATCCGAGTCATGATGATAAAAGCGTGATCATACATTGCGGAAGAAATATTGACGCGTGCTTGGCGTCTGATTGAGCATTCGTAATAAGGTTTAGCATAATAATTCATAATAATATCGATAATATGTATTCTGTATATAACTCGGATTGATAATAATTGGATAATAATGATTGATTTCAAAAATGCGTTGACAATTTCTATTTTAATGATGTTACACCATTAAAATATAAGGAAAATGTGGATGAAAGCCATATTTTTACTTTCTTTAGTGGTTTAGATATATATTTAAAGGCTCAATTATTAAACTCGAATGCTAGTATCTGGATTTTGGAGGCTATTTTCGATAAACAAAAAAATTATATTTTACTTATGACTAAACTTCTCAAAAGAATTGATTACAGAGTTAGTTTTCTGATCTTCGTTTGTTTTGTATGTCTGTTATAACTACTGAATTATCTTTCCAAATGCCCRAAATATAAAGAAAACCTACGTAAATATCGTGTGAACGATTTAAGAATCATCTAAAATGAGTCGCATGCCCTTCACTATGTTCAGCTTAATTTTGAGACCAGTTTCTTTTTATTATCTCCCACAAATAAAAAGAAATGTGATTAGCATGAACATATTTGAATTTTTCTTAACTTTGCAATGAATTATCATTGCTTTTCACATGACTAAAATTGAGTGAATATGATATTCTTAGCTTATATTGGCCTCATGTAAGTTTGTTTTGCAGTAGATAGCAGAATTACGCTCAAAACGTGGATGTAGAAATAATTTCTTTATTATAATGTTCTAATCTATCCATACATACAGGGTTTGTCCGGAAAGTAATAGGATTGATTTCCACCGTGACTGTACTTTGAAGCGTGCGCGCACCGACTGGATTCGGTAGAGGACAGTTTCCTCCGAGCAGGAGAGTTTCTGTGAGTGATGCATGCCGAAAATGCAGCGTTCGTTAGAGCAGAGGTACGCGATTAAATTCTGTGGGAAACTCGGTAAATTTGAGACAGAGACGTTTGATATGATCAAGCAGGCTAACCCGGAGAAAATTCGATAATGTGTGAAAGTGACTAACAATTTTTGAATAACGTAATCACCGGTGACAAGTCATGGATCTTTGAGTATGATCCCCCGATAMAAAGAGGCAATCCTCCTATGAAAAGTAAGCATTTGAGACGACAAAGGTGGTCCAAGCAGTATGCATCTCGGCTCTCAAGCCTATTCCGGAGACTACCTTTCGTGACGGATTCAATACTCGGAAATCGCGCGGGCGCTACATCACGCAGAAGGAGCCTATTTTGAAAGTTTTTAAAGAATTGTAACGATTGGTTCAATACATTTTTCTATATCGACTCAGTCCKGTTACTTTCCGAACAAACCCTGTACGTACCATATCMTTAAATGTGAAGTTTAAAAGTATAMTTCTAATAAATCATTGAATATTTGTATTATATAAGCAAAAAGTGCACTGATTTCTTATCATAGTTCAGTTAGAATCGTTTTTCAGTTTCAAAGGACAGCACAGATGATGTCKCATAATAAATTAATACATTAATATGCCATTAAATAGATTTAAAAAMCYTTTTTTTTTTTTAAATATATAGTGTTTTTTGAGATGATGAGCACTCTTATCTTAACCTATTTGTGACATCATAACTTCATATATAGAGGTTATTAGAAGTGTCTAACACCACTAATTAGCTATATCATTCTGAATAGAAAAGATCATTAGTCATTTAATCAATGATTAAAAGTTCAACTTAACTAGTTGATATCAAACAAAAAAAAAATACAATAAATGTGTTTGCGAAATAATCCCACAGTTATCTGAACTCAAACGCCCCCATCGCCTTACTACTTGACTACGATGGCACTCTGGTGGCCCTCGCCAATAATCCGGCGAATACACTTCTCACTGCGAATATGAAGAAATTGCTTGACCAATTGGCCGTACATCCCAAGGTCTTCTTGGCGCTTATCTCCGGACGTGGACTGCGTGATGTGCAATCATGCTTGGGCATAAAAGGTATCACATACGCGGGCAATCACGGCTTGGAAATCGAGAGTGGCGATGGCACACGTCACGACCATGCRCTGCCAGCTGAACTCCGGACGCGCTACACAACTATCGTAAAAGAATTGACGGAAAAGCTGGAAAATAATGGTGCATGGGTTGAAGATAAGAMGGTATCACTTACCTTTCATTATCGCGATGTGCCCGCCGAGTTGGCCGAGCAATACAAACAAGCGGCTAAGGTGATAATTGAGTCGCATGGCTTCCGTGCAAATCAAGCGCATATGGCGGTCGAGGCGAAGCCGCCAGTCAACTGGAATAAAGGTGAGTGCGTATTATGTGATAAACAAATTGGCTAAATATTGATTTGTTTTAGGTGAAGCGGCATTGCTCATTTTGAAGAATCAATTCGGGGAGGATTGGGCTAAAAAAGTCAAAGTGATATTTGCCGGCGACGACACCACCGACGAGGACGCCATGCGGGTAATTAGCGATGCTTGATGTTAAAAAAAAGTAGTTAAATGGAAATATTATTTCTGTTTACACAGTTGTTGCAAGGCTTTGGCATATCTTTTCGTGTTTCAACCGATCCTAATATTGAGACCTATGCTGATTTTCGCTTATCAAGCCAAGGTGTGGTGGAGGATTTGTTGACGTGGATCAGCAGTACTTTTAATCAATAAGACATAAGATAAATACTAGTGTATTTATTACTGATTTATTGTATCTGTATACTTAGGAGGTCATAAAAGGGAGCATTTACAAAATTTTCAAATATTGTTGCATAAAATACGAGTATGTGTGTTTAAGGTAATTAGCGATAATTAGCTAAATTGAAAAATTAGTGTGCAAATAAATGTGAACTTTTGGCAACAATTTGTAAAATATAGTTGTTGGGGAAATAAATATTAGGGATACAATGCTTTGGGATTGATACTTGACCATTCTGCTACGAATGGCTTTAGGTCCAATAAGTGTAAAGAGGTTTGATGAGGTTCTCGCTTAAAATGTTTGCGTGAGTTGCTAGTTTGTGACTACTAAACGAATACAAGAAGCGACAGAAGTTTGTGAAATCCATTTCCAAAGCTACTGACATTTTCATCTCAACCTTTTGTTACATTGTGTGATCATCTAAGGGGCTAGACCAATCTAGATCTTTCTAAAATGAACTTTAACTAAATTTATTCCTGAAATAAGGTAAAAGGAATGCAATTTGTTTGCGTAAAGGTTTTATTGAGCATATTTTTAAGTGTATAAATTTATATCGATACAAAATGGCAGTTACTAGACCAATCTGCGGAATTACCTTCTTCCAGAGGGTCTTTATGGGCGACGTAAATACATAAGACTTGCTAATAAACTACATGCGCTTCTAACTTTATATAATATTTTTTAAACAAAAATGCAAAAAATTCGTGCAAACGAACTCAAATAGTATTCCTTGTTGATAGTTTGGTCTTGCGGAATTCGGAGTGCACCACCCCTCAATAGTAGAACTGTCAATATAACCTAATTTTTTACCTGCTTTCACGTGGCTTAACTTTGTCACGATTTCGGTCCATTGGTCTGTTTCCGGATTGGACATATATATCCAAGACTCATTGCCAATAATAATACGATTCATGACATCCATCGGAAAGCATTATTTCACAGGCTTAAACGCGAAGTTATTTTTCGAAAAAACTGAGTCTTTTTGGAACCAATCGTGCTTCTCAGGCACAAGTGATCTTTCGAAATGGTTTTCACTGTTCGTTTCGATGTTCCAACAATGCCATTAAGATCTCTCACTGTTAGTCGTCGATTCTAAATTTCTTTATCTTATTGTCATATTGATCATCAGTTGAATACCCATTCTGGACCTGGTTCGTCATCATCGCGCTCTCAGCCTTCTTTGAATAATTTGTATCCACCAAAAACACTTGTTCACAACAAACAATTATCATTAAACGCCTTTCCCAACGTTCTGAGCTTTTCGGTGCCAGAAATTTGATTCCGCACGAAAATTTAATGGATATTCTTTGTTGAATAATTTCACTCCGAATATCAAACTAAACTAAAAAAAAATATTTCGATGAACAGGTTTTCATGGGAAATTTATATTACAAAATCTTACTATTTTTGGCCCACGGATCACATCTGATCTGATATAAACCGTTTCTTCGGAGATTACACTGTTGTCTTCAGCATAAATCGTATATATTAATATGATATCTCGATGAAAAAGTGTTTCATACAAGCACCTGCTTCCGATCGTTCAATTCAACGACTTAGCATGTCACGCTGATTAATTATATACATATTGTAGTATATATACTTTGTGTTTTTGACATTCCCTTTTGGGTGTTACAAATATCCAAAAAGCAATCTTAATATACTTACATATATTGTTTAGGAAAGAATTATATTTACGTGTAATTTAAATTTTAAATCTTCAGAAAGCATGTGCTTTTATATCTGTATCTATTTCAGTAATATTAAAAACAATGTTTCAAAATGTATATTAATTTTCCAATACATATCTATGTATATTGTATTGATAGCATATACAAATTGCATACATAGTATATAATTTATGCTCTCTTTAAGAGCGAAATATTGCGAAAGCTTTTTGCTTAAAGAGCTTTTCAAACTCAAAAGAMGGCCTATAGGTAAAACTACTGATCTAAGTGGTGCTTTATACATGATTTTGTTGAATATGAGATGTGATAGAATCTTTTTATAAAACATTTCATGATKTTGAACGTTAAACAGGACCTGTTGTTATAAAGCACTTTCAAACTTACATGAATATAATTTCGAAAATCAGTGCTAACATGGCGGAATAAAATATTTTACTTTAGTTAACAGTATTTCTGGGGTCAAAGCACTTCCATATTCAGTCCACGTCCTGGGGATTATACGTAAGGAACATATTTGTGCTTAGTATACTCGTACCAGAAGAACATAAAAAACATAAGACGCGAAATAGTAGAAACAAAACAGAGATTGGTAAAATTAATTAAAGCAACTTCGGGGTCAGACAGGAAAGTCCAGCCGGCAAGAATTGSTATACCATGCTATAAATAATGGAATGTTCCTATTACTGTACTCAATGGTATAAATCAATAGTAGCATCGCGATGCCATCGTATTTGAAGTCATTGACCTCTTCACACTTCRAACTTCTTGTTTCCATCTTCACACTTCTCAGTATAATCTTGGAAAACTTAAAAAAAAATATTTTTTTCTCTTTCCTGCAGGCATTCATATGCCTCCAATACAATATGACTATAAAATGTCGCGTAAATATTTTTTCCTCCATGCACGCTCAGTGTGAAAATGGAAAAGTTGCTTGCCGACACCTTCYAAGTAAAAGCAAAGTAACCATGTATTTCGATTTTAAAATTAGTATCCATAATATTTTTGAGAGCATTAGATGATCTTCTCTCTCATGAGATCGTTCTCAAGATTTATGCACTCASAAATATTTCGATGTTAGCCGTCATTCGGCGTCATACGTGGCACTTTGTCCAACTGTTAGGCTAAAAGCATGTTCTCTTCCAACATATTCCTTCACATTYAGTAGATACATACATACATATGTACATATGTRCATACWCWGYCTTTACAGATTTCATCGATCTGCTCGTTAGAGTCGGCATCGCCTTTGACTTCGTTTGCTGCRCGTTCGTCTGCCACTTTTTTTCCGATTTTCTGGCCTGCCGAGATTTTTGAATTGTTCATATAGTGTCAGTGGTATTAAAACGGCCGGTGGGCATCCAGCGAAATTTTCCGCTTAACTTGACTAATAATTTCCGCTGCTTTCTTTAACGCGCTTCCTTAAAGTGTAGTTGTAGTTAAAAATATATCATATATTGAAAAATAAAATATAGAAATGGCTGAACAAAAGAAGGCTCCACTTCTCAGGAAAGAGGAAGATTACGTGAAAGCGTTGGATGGGTAAGTTTTTGCTTAACATCAACTACTTGCGTTYAAAAATTATGGAGAATTTATATAATTATTTTTTCACAAAATTTGTATGCAGTTTCTTCACAAAAGAGGACCAGGTTGCGTTGCTGCTCGATTACGATGGCACATTGGCTCCCCTTAGCGAAGAGCTCTCAGCCATGCCAAAGGATACTGAGATAAATATCAAGAAATTAGCKGCTAACGACAAAATCTTCATGGTTGTTTTCTCGGGCCGTGATTTGGCTGAAATTAAGAACCACTTAAAATTCCCCAATGTTACTTATGCAGGCAATCACGGTTTGGAAGTTGAGTACCCATCGGGCAAGAAATTCAAGATTGAAATGCCAGAAGAACTCTTGAAGAAACATCAGGAACTCGTCAACGAACTTAAAGAAAAGGTAATTTATGAGTGGTGGTTGTTGTGAAAAGAGTGAGGGGCATTAAAGAATATGTAATATAATATAATATAATATAATAGGTAGGATAAAAAATGGATGAAAATCTGAAAAGTATTTGTATATAAATATTTGATATTTGCAAATTTTGAATTAGAAAAATTTAGCATATAAAAGTCTTAATAATATCATAGTCTAAAGTATTAGTTCTACATATTTAGATATATTCGTAATAATACTAAATTTCTTAAAAAATTTTCTCCCACAGGTGGTTTTGCACGGCGCCTGGGTTGAGGACAAGAAAATCTCCGTTACATATCACTACAAGGGTGTCAATGACAAACTGAAGACCAAATTGATCGAAACTGCCAAGGGTCTGATTCAAGGACATGGCTTCCAGYTGATCGAAACTCCATACGCTTTGGAGGGCAAACCACGCGTCAACTGGGACAAAGGTAAGTTGAACAACATRAATAATTTTATTTTGCGGGGTTTAAACTAGTAGGGGGTTACTAAGGATTACAGATGTTTTTGAGTAGAAAAATTTTAGTTGAAACTCTGTTGGAAACACGAATTTGTGTAGCTTTGTTGGTTCAGAGTTTTCGTTTGGAAAATTACAAATTTTGAATGGGCCATTAGTTTCAAGCGAGATTTCAGAATGAATTGATTATTTTAATAACCGGCGATTAGTTTTTGGGCCAGATTTTAGAAGAACCTCTACTCTTTTAATTACCGACGGTTAGTTTTGAGCAAGATTTTTGAAGAAATTCTACTATTTTAAAGAATTTACAATAAAATGGTGCGATAGGTACTCTAAAATASTAGAAAAAAAGTAACTGGTAAGAAAAAGTAGTTAAAAGTAGTGGTTARTATTTGGTTATAACTAACAATTTTAATATAACCAATACTTATGTGTATGACTTTCAAACCTTTTAAACATATTACATATTCTTAACATTTTATTTAACTGTTCCCAAATATTTATTATTATTGTCTTCCTGCTTCATAAAAAGTTGTTTTTAAGACCCCTAACTGGTAGCTATGGGTTAAATTTCTGGTTAAATATCTTAGCACTAACTTGTAATTAATGGTTAAATTTGTGGATATAAAAAATTTTATTTTCTTTATTAATTTTAAAGCTTCTGAATCATCGTCTACTAAAATATCAAAAATTATATCAGGAAATAAATCATATGCTTTAGCACTAAAATTAGATTCTTCAAAAGCAATTACCCATATACCTACACACCCAATTTCGCTTCGAATCAAAAGACTAATTGTTTCGTATTTGTTAATTAAAAATCATTACTAAGCAGCTATTTTCGACATTTAAATACCTATGRATTTAGTGTTAATGCCGCAGAGTAGAAGAAAAATTGAGAAAAAATACAAAGATTTTGAAGAATTTAGTTCAATTCTAAAACAGTTGCCATAAATTGTCACGGCACATAAATAAGCAATCGGTTATGTGGGTAGCATAGCACCGCTGCTTAGAAATGTTATTTTTCATGTTTTCTTTATTGTTTTGTTTTTGCTATTTTATAATAACTTTGTTTTTACATTGTATTTTTGCGCGGCTCTTGTTGACCTCATTGGCCGTCCAACAAATCAATCAGCGTTTCAAAATAATTTTGAAATTTTTTTTCGACGCTCAAGTTTGGCGCTGAAGCGAGCACCTGTTTCAAGCAATTAAAATTTTATTTTAATATGATTTATTTAATTCACAACACAGCATAAGCGAAGAAAAGTAAAAGTTTACAAAAGTGCATAAATAAAAATAAATTCAATTTAAATACATGAAATTGAAAAATAAGCGTATAAAGTGTATATGTTTATGCATATATATATA